CCATCAGGAATTTGTCAGTTATTATCTTACCTTGGTATGGTTCTCTCAGAGGTTCGTGCTCATGAGTCTCTGCTCCAGCAAGCTGTGACTCTCTGCACTCATCTATTTTTCTCTCCAATATCGGGGGGGCAGTGGTTTGCCCTTTGGCCCCACCTTTCTGATGAATCTAGAAATAGTTGTTGGCTTTTTAGTTTGCCGAGCTTTTAACATGCTAGCTCTGCAGGTTTTTGAGCTCTTTCCCTACATAATTTTTTGAAAACAAAAATTATAGACCCAAGAAGTGTCTATCCCAAATGTGTGGAAGCTGTGAAAGATGGGGCTACGAGCAGAAACAGGTTTTTTTTAAAGCAATTTTGCTGAGTATCTATTATGTGCATTCACTGTTTTGTGGGTCCCATGCAAAGAAATTCCCTTAAGAACCTGGCAACAGAGCCATTGTGTTTATTTCAGTGATTCATTACTGCTCAAAACATGTGAAAATTCCTCTCTGTCACTGCCTCAACCATGGAAATTGTTTCCTTGGTAAATGCCTTCAGCCAGTCATTCAATTAAGATTTTTGAGAGCCTTCTATACAGGTCTAATAGGTGAGATCTGGAATATAATTTTAAAAACAATCAAGAACAAATCAAAGTCAGTGAGGCAATACAATTTTTTAACATGACTATTTCTCTGATGTGGCTGGTAAATTCCTCCAGCCAGTTCCAAAAGTCATCACTGAAAGTCAAGCAGCTCAAGAAACTCTGTACTGGTTGTGTTCACAGTGATGTCTTCTTTTAATCTAATGAGTCATAATACAATTCATTTTATTCATTGTCACTGCATATACTTAATATCAGTGTCGATCTTTTCCCTGTCTGAGAACAGAAGGTCAAATTTAGAAACAGTTTTTCTACTCCCTTCAAGATTATAATATATAAACAGTATGCTCTATATTCTTTGTTTAATGTCTTTCTCTCTTCTCTCTCTCTCTCTCTCTCTCTCTCTCTCTCTCTCTCTCTCTCTCTCTCTCTCACACACACACACACACACACACACACGCTGACATGTTTTCTATTATTTAAACTCAATTTTAGGTAAATTTGTACCAGGTTACCTTTTCTTTCAGGGGTCTTACTCTGTTTCTAGATTTTGAAAATGAGAATATATCAGCACGCACTTTCCTTAAAATGAGAATTTACCACACCATACAAACATTGTGTTCAAACTGACTCTACTTCTATCTAAGTTACTGTGTGGTTTCCTGAGCCTGTCTGAAAAGAATCCCTTAGGCAGTGATACTTCATGGTAACCGGCCCAGCTCACAGAATCCCATTTTGCAAAGTATGCGCTTTAGATTGTAACTGAAAACAGGCAAGTTTTCCTGCCTCTGACTTGACTCCAAGCATCTGAATGTTAGAAAGAGCATGAAGCTTTTAGGCTGAAACACTGCACAATCTTCAGTGTGCAGAGCTGCCTATTTTCCACTACTGCTATTTTAGAGAGAGATGGGCAGAAAGAAATTGCTCTCCGTAATAAAACAAGTGTGTTTGGGATGGCAGAAAGGAGAGGAGAGGAATGGGTACCTGAAAGACATCATTCAACTTAGGCATCTTCATCCTGGAAATGATAGAAGAGGATACTTGGAGGACTTCTTAAAATCCCTCCTCCCAGAACACCTAAGAACTGAGTTAAACGCCACTTATCATCAGACCTTCGAAGTCACATTTCTCAGTCTCTTGGCTGTCCTTTCGAGCTAATACTTGGCACCCTAGGAGCAGAAGAAGGTGAGATCTTGGTCTGGACCTAAGAATCAGAAATCTTTGGATTAAATACTTCATAACATTTTAAATCCCCTGCCTTGTTTTGAGTCTGATTTCTGAGCAGCTTTTTCCCAGAACATAATGAAAAACTATTAGTTCTGATGAATATTTAAAAGATCATGAAAAAATGGATTCTTTACAACTCATCGCTACAGTTCAAAAACCGTATGACTTTTAGCTTGCAGGGTAGATGGGAGAAGGTGATGGGAAGAGACTGTCCCTGATTTGGAATCTGAGAACAAGGTCAACTGCCCACCATTTTATTCACTCTTTCAGCCATTTACTGAGCACCAAATGAGTCTGAAGCATCCAGGAAACTAAGCACTCTTGCACTCCAGGGGGATCCCTGTCTTTCTTTTTCTTCTCCCCTGACATGTAAGGAGCCACTGAGAAAAGGGCAGCTTCACCAAGAAGCTAACTCAAACAGAATTAGTTCTATTAAAGCAAACCAGCCTAAGGAGGTGCTAGGGAGGAAGTCTTCCTAAAGAGGCTGGTGAGCCTCGTTTGCAACAGCCTGGGCTGGTCACATGGGCCTTCTGTACCTCAGATTTTCCCATCTGCAGAATGGGAGTTTGCAGTAGGCTTGTGCCAAACTTAGCTGCTTCTTTTCCAAGATCCTAAGGGGCCATATGTCCAGCACTGTGAACCTTAAGGATGTGATGTGGTTATCACACACAAACTTCAGCCTCCTGCCCCTGAGTATGTGTTTAAATTTGGGTAACCCCAGGAACGCAAGCAGGCTGTCTAATTTTAGGCAGGATTTTATACTCCCTTTGCACAGTACTGCAGTTTAGTAGTCTTTCTTTACAAAACCTGGACAACAGTCGAAAAGCTTGTTTAAGTGAGGACAGAAGCTGTATTTTACCTTAGAGACAGGGTAAGGATCAGGAAAAGGCAGACATCGGACTCTGATGGGAAGAGCTTAAAAGGTCAAAGGGAAACATTGTATTTGTCTGGTCCGAGGTCAGAGCTGCTCTACAGGGCAGCCTCCGGCGTTCTCGCTCCCCACACCAGCACTCCGCTTTCCCGCACCAGGTACAAGGCTGCGGCCGCGCAGGAGACAGGTATGGAGCGAGTGTGGCTCCGGAGCCCTCTGGATGCAGTGACCACAGCCCACAACACTGAGACCTGCTGGGAGTGGATACCCCTGTCCCCCGCGAGTCCAACCTACGCAGGAGAGCGCTGCCCTCCAGTGACCAAAATGGGAAATGCAGTGCGTCCGAAGCCTCAGACAAGCCGCTTGACTGCAGTCCCCGCGACGGTTTAAATGGTGGTGACATGTCCGTTGCCGAAGACGCATATGGCCAGGAAAGCCCCGGGTCTCCTTTTCTACATACGGGCTCTGGAACTGTTTGTGATATCCCCCTTAGGATCAGGGAGATAGATACACACATGGGTGGATGGATACATTAAAAACAAAAAACGTAAATAAATCGATGATGGACAGACAGATGAAGATGGATGACAGATGGTTTAAAATACTTTTGATAGTTTGGTGTACCAGACACAAGTCTTCCATTTGATTGTCCTGAATGCTATACCTCCCGTGCCTCTATTAAGGAATGGCATATTACTTCTGTTTCTATTTTCCATTAGGAAAACTGAAACCTTAGACAATGTAAGCAATTTGGTTCTTAGTGATCCTTTGCAAAGCCAGGAAGTGAGGGAGCCTGCTCCATCATAAGCCCCAGCCTTCTGCCTCTCCCTGTGGAGAGGATGTGTGCATCCCCCCAAGCCCAGGCGCCCTGGGCACCATTGTCCTTATCTGTCTCTGAACACCACACTCCTAGCACGCTGACATCACATCCGCCCCGACACTCCCTCTTCACTTATCAAACACCCACAGGACACCCTGGACAGAGAGCACACTACAGGCAGCAAGCCCCCGACTCAGGAGCTGGAGGATGACTGGTTCCTCCCGCGGTGCCTGAAGGGCGCACAGTCCCCCGGAGGAGCCTCTTTCCAGAATCTGAGGTTTTACTTGTTTCTTTAGCCAGGGATCTCACTGACCAGAACAGAGAATTTTTAAGATTCCCAGAAACTTTCAATCATTCGTTCTGCAACCATTAATTGAGTGGCTACTGTGAGCTGACGCTATCAGAACAGATGGGTGAATAACAGGACATTCAGGATGGCTATGCTTAATGCCTTGAAGGCGCCTTGAGAGAAGGTGGGGAAGCGACAGGTTCACCTGATCCGAGGGTCTCCACCATATCCCAGAAATCTAAGCCAACCCATGTGCCCTTCCAAACTCCCCCACCCCAGGGGACAATTTCAGTGACTTGGTGCAAGGAAAAGTTGTTCCCATCCCATTGTTCCCCAAACTTCCTAACTGCCTTGGGTTTGTCACCGGGGCGGTGAGGCGAGCCACCGAGCGCCCCCACTCTCACCCGCAGCGTGTGCGGGCGCAGGGACTGACCCCTCCCGCGAAGGCGTCGGCGCGGGGCTGGCGTAGGGCCTGCGTCAGCTGCAGCCCGCAGGCGATTGGGGCGCGCGCTCCTCCTTCGGTTTGGGGCTAATTATAAAGTGGCTCCAGCAGTCGCCAGCCTCGGGACAGCGAGGTAGGCGCTCAGAGCCCGCAGCCCAGCCCGCGGCCCCGCGGCGACACAGGACCGCGACGGTGAGGTCCGCTTCTGCCCGCGTGCCCGGTTCGCTTCTCCCCGACGCCGTTCTCACACTTGCCTTTCTCTTCCTTCCAGAATCGTGTCTGGGACCCAGTTTTTCCAACCAGCCTGCTCCATCCGGACAGCGTCAACGTAAGTGAATTTGTCCCCCAAACTCGCCTTTCCTGCGCGGGTTTGGGGGCGTCCGCCTGTTCTAGTTGCGTGGTCTCCCCCAACTTTTTCGGGGTTCCTTTTTGTGATCCCGGTCAGTGCAGTGTCTCCCCCTCCAAGCGCCTGCTCTCTGGCTCTTGATCTCCAGCGTTAGCGACAGAATTCTGCCCTAGGCAATGGACGCTCTGAGCCACCTCGGGTTGAGATGATTGCACCGGTCCGGGAGCTGCGAGGGGATCTGAGCGGTCCCCGAGTCTGCCTGAAAGGTGTCTGGGTGCGGGCGGGGACCGAAGAAAGAGCATCCTTACGGGCTCCAGCTCGAGGACCCCACTCCCACCACCCCCCTCAGCTGAAGGTGTCACCCCGAGGTCCCTCCTAGGGATCTCAGACAGGCTCAGAGTGCGCACCCTTCTCTCCTCGCAGTCCATGGCGCGGTTCCTGAGACTTTGCACTTGGCTGCTGGCGCTTGGTCCTGGCCTTCTGGCTACGGTGCAAGCGGAATGCAGCCAGGACTGCGCGACTTGCAGCTACCGCCTTGTGCGTCCCGGCGACATCAACTTCCTGGTGAGTGTTTCCCATGGTGAGCGAGTCGCCACTATAGTCCGCAGACAGCCCCAGCCGGCCATGAGGCTTGTCTGTCACGCCGGGTCAGAGGCGCTGCGGCGCAAACCTTTGGTGATCCAGGTGTCCTGGCTGTTCTGAGAACGCTGACTGAGGTCCCACTCTGGCTGTCAGTTTAGGGGACCGATGAGGGCGGAGGTATCTCTACAAAAACCAAGTTTATTTTAACCCTGGGGATTGGGAAAGTCCAAAAGGTGCTCTCTTCAGCACCTCGGATAGCACTGGGTTCTCCGGGGCTGTCAGAAGGAAGATGCCCAGTCACCTCAATTTCTGACATACCAGCTAATGGCCTCTCAAGCAGTCATGTAATTCCCGCAAATAATGTAATTTTTTGTTAATGACATTTTTGTCTCCTTTTCTGGAAGTTCTTTTCTCTAGCTCTCTTAACCTGGGTCCCTATGAATAGGAATGAGCAAAGGGATAGAAAAGGGACTAAGGGAGAGTGGAGAAACAGAAGACCTCAGGAGAACAAGAACTCAGTAATTGCACAAGCAAGTGATGATAGAATTAAATTTGTCTTGTCTTGACTGCACTTTTGTAACACCAACTAAAACAACAGTTTAACTTGGCTATGAAAAGGGTTCAAGAGAAATGGCCAGGGTCCAAAGAAGTGGTATCAGTGCGGGTGGAGGGGAGCTGATAACAAAATAGTAGTCCATGGAATCTTGAATTACTTCTGATGCTCAGCTGAGTCAGATGTCCATATTGGAGATTCCAGAGGCTTTCTTTTAACTAGTTCCCTTCATGATTCCTTGCCACTGCCTTTGAGATTTGTTGAAAATTGTGATGCCTTTAAAAGTTTAGCAGAGAGTGATATATAATCCAAGCTGATTTAGGCTCCACTTGAGACTCTGAAGAAAGTTCATGTTACATGCATGCTTGAAATGAAGAAGAAAACTTAGGAAGGGATTCCATGAACCAACGTATATACTTCAGGTTAAATGTTTGTTTCATTTGAATATTTGATATACTGGTCTGTTTCTATTGATACATGCTAACTTGGCCTTAGAGAGAAGACACATAGTGCTATTGTATAGTTAAACTATGAGAAAAATACAGCCTCCCTTTAATCCATCTTCCTTCTTTTTCCTGTAGTTAGGAGCTTTTAAGTTATTCTAAAAGTCGAGTGGATGGTATAAGCATAAGCATAGATCTTGGGAGTAAAGAGTTGTTTGCACAGAAGAGAAAGAAACTGAAACCATGCCTTACTGAAAACCCACTTTCTGCCGTGTAAGAGACTTGTGCTTGGTACTGTGGTGGACGCAAAGATGTGAAGGCATGCCTTGACTCATGTCCCTATAGAATTTACCATCTAATGTGATCTTGACCATAAATTGTAGCATGTAAAAAATACCACTATAGGAACTGTAAATAATACCATTGTTTTTGTAGGAATGTTCTATTCTGATTATCTGTCACTATTTGTTTTTGAAGGATTCCCAAAATTACCTACATTTAAGGGCCTTTTGGTAGGAGTATACATAATATTCGATATTAATTTTTGCCAACAAAATGATGTAAATATAATTATAGAATGGAAATATTATTGCCACTTCAACATCTTAAGCTTTTAATGATGTTTTCAGACCTTAATCAGGTATTATGTGGAATATAACAGGACCATTTTAATTAGATAATCTTTAGATTTTTTTATATACTCACATATTTAATTTTCTCACATGCAAAGCTTAAATAATCATTAAGAGTTGGTGAACTATGCATCCTAAAGATTTCATTACATGAATAAAATCTTGCTTTCATTGTGAAAATAGTATGTGTGTATTTAATATCAATATGTTTTTAAATACCAAGAAAGAGCCTGGCGAAATCAAGAGACTGCAGGTAGATTCATAGGTAGCTGGAATGCTAAGAAATATGATAGGTTTTTGTCAGTGTTCACGTAATATTAGTGCTCCTTTATCATACACAAGTGATCTGTTGAATAGAAAAAAATCTGAACGAGATCATTAGAATGTACAGCCTAAATCTTGCTATGATTTTAATTATTGTACAGTATAAAGAAAATAATTATATTCTTACTTTATCAAATGACATGCTTTCCACTGGGAAAGGTGTTTTCTGTGCACCCCTGGCCAAATGCTGAGAAAATAAGCATGGATAATGGGTGCATTTGCAATTGTACAAGTTCTGTCTGATCTCATAAGTTACATTCAGTTCAAGATGATGAAATCTGCTTTAATAAACCAGGGGAAAGAGAAAAAAATCTCCATCTTTAGCAAGTCAATATACCAGAATCCAAACAATACATAAAATTTAAATTGGATATTTTGGATGTCTTTCTTTTAAACTAATTTTGAAATTTTTTTTCTTTGAAGATTGAAAGGGTTTACAAGAATATTGGATACTGTTGTAGAAAAATATTAACACAAAAACGCAGATGAATCTTATTAACATTGATTTTTATCTGTGAGACCAGAAGATAAAAGGAATGCTAAAGATACATCCTTAATTACAACAACAAAACTGTTTCCCTTTTGATTAGAAAACTCTCAAACAAAATATTAGCAGGGAACAATTATCAGTGCACTTAGATTCCTAAGGCAGCCAATCTAAGTTAAAATTGGAGAGGGAGCTTTTAAAATATTGAAATGGCTCAGTATACACAGCAGACAGATTTCTAATTTGATTCATTGAACTTTTCCAGTGTTTATTTCATTTGCCTGTTGAGTGTGAGAAAAAGTTATGAGGGAAAGCTGGAGATGTCCTTACTCTGTGGGAATCTCCAAATGAAAGCAAACATGTTGTGGGCCACAATCTGTTTCCATAGCATACCAGAGCAGCCTCTCTTTTTCACTGAATCCAATTGTCTTCCCAGGCTTGCACGCTGGAGTGTGAGGGCCAACTGCCTTCTCTCAAAATCTGGGAGACCTGCAAGGAGCTCCTGCAGGTGGCCAAGCCTGAACTTCCTGCAGATGGCACCAGCAAGCAGGATGAGAGCCATTTGCTGGCCAAAAAGTACGGGGGATTCATGAAGAGGTATGGGGGCTTCATGAAGAAGATGGATGAGTTGTATCCCGTGGAGCCGGAGGAAGAGGCCACTGGAGGTGAAATCCTTGCCAAGAGGTATGGAGGCTTCATGAAGAAAGATGCAGAGGAGGGAGACACTCTGGCCAACTCCTCAAACCTACTGAAAGAGCTGCTGGGAACAGATGACAATCGTGAGAAAGAAAGCCACCACCAGGAGGGCAGTGACAATGAGGAGGATGTGAGCAAGAGATATGGGGGCTTCATGAGAGGTCTCAAGAGAAGCCCCCAGATGGAAGACGAAGCAAAGGAGCTGCAGAAGCGATATGGGGGCTTCATGAGAAGGGTGGGCCGCCCGGAGTGGTGGATGGACTACCAGAAAAGATATGGAGGCTTTCTGAAGCGCTTTGCAGAGTCTCTGCCCTCTGATGAAGAAGGTGAAAGTTACTCCAAAGAAGTTCCTGAGATGGAAAAAAGATATGGAGGATTTATGCGATTTTAATACTCTTTCCTAGCAGTGGCCTCAGGCTCCCAGCAGCCTCCCTCTATCCCCTAGTGAGCCACTGCTTCCTTGATGTTATTTTATTGTCATGTGTTGCTTGCACTATATAGCTGCCCTCCTTGTCTGGATTACTGTACAGCCTGAAAACTGTCATTTCAGGGTCTGTATTCTTTTGCCAGTCTTTAAGCTCAGTATTGGTCTATTGCAACTATCTCGCTTTCGTGGTAAAATAGTTTTTGTTATCTTGTCCCTATTTTTGACAGATCATTAGCCAATGCTTACTTGTATTTAGATGTAATAAACCCACTCCCAAGTGCACAATGGTCCCGTGAGTCTCTTTTTCTCCAAGGCCTTCATTCACCTTTGAGTTTCTGCAATACATCCTAGACTGGACTCAGTAGACCATCTGCTTTTGACAGAATCATTACTGGCCTCTTCCTCTTCCAGCTGAGGCTGCAAAACTTGTTTATTTAATTGATTGTATGTGAAATCTTAATATAAGTAAACACATTGGGACACAATATGAAGTAAAGACAATTTAGCCCCATTTTGTGCATGAAGAAAGTGAAACCCAGAAGGGGTAAGTGACTGGCCCAAGGTTGCTCAGCAGTTGAAAGACAGAAAACCCCAAACTTCTTGTTCTCAGTCAATATCCTTTCCATTACTCTTCCTTGTCCCCCATTCAGGTCACTAGCAAAAATTAGAGGAGCTTGGGACTGTTCACCCTTACACTCTGACCATAGTAAACTCTCCAAAATCTAGTGAAAGGATATATGAATGAATGAATGAACAAAGAAATGAATGAAGTGGATGAATGAATTGATTAAGCAACTAGATAATCAGGAAAGGTATTGTGATTGTTTTATAAGGCAAATTCCCAAAGCACAAAGAGCTTATGACTACTTTGCATTAATGAAGTCATTTGTGACAACACTCAGATATAAGAAATGTAACATTTCTTCATTTTTCTAATTGAAACTACATGCAGCTCAATCCTTAACCACTGAGTAGTTTTTCTCAGGATTCCCCTCACACACACCTCAGTCTTTTCCCTGTGTTCCTCAAAAAAATCTGTTTGGCATTTAGGAAAGTGGAGGATGAGTCTCTGACTGCAGTCCTCTGGGTAGCCCATGAGATATTCATTGCCTAAACCTATGTGCTCCATTCTGAAGAGGCAGTACCACAGACTCCAGGCAGCCCATACCTCTAAGTCTAGCCCTGCTACGGCTCTGGAGACATCCACATCAGGAGACCTGTCTCCACCTAAATAGTGCAGGGAATCACAGGTCCCCATCTTCATGGAGCACCACTCCCCTCTACCCTCCTAGTCCTTGGTAAACTAACTTTTTTTAAACGAGAACTCTCCTCCTTTTGAATGAGAGGTGTTCAGGAAGCAGCAGCTGGCCCTGGAAATTGTGTCAAAAGGATAAGGAGTGACAGGACTGTGGTGCCACTGGAGGTAGAAGGTGTCCCTAGTTGTTTCTCTTGGAAATGATAGCTTAGTGTTTTCAGAAATTTAGATTTTTAAAATAATATTGCAAGTTTTTTAAATATGGGCAGTTGACTCCATTTTTTAAAAATGTGAGAAAACAATGTGAGTGCAGAGCATGGTGGTTCACACCTGTAATCCCAGCACTCAGGGGGAGTTTGAGGACAGCCTGAGCTATATAGCAAGACTCTGTCTCAAAAAAATAGTGTCAGTCAAACAAAGCATATCTTTAGATCAGATTTGCAAGATCTGGAGGCTGACATTTTTGGGGAAAAAAAATTCCCTCTTCTAGAGCGAAGACTCCCAAACCTCAAGCAAAGGACCCCAAACCTCAGAAGCAATAATCCAGCCTAAACTATCCTTCCTGATAATACAACTATTAGCTTACAAGAATATAATACACATACATGCACATCCTCTACAGTATGTTTAAGGAAATAACACAAATTCACAAGGTCACAATAGATTATCTTTCAAAGCAAGCACATTTCCTTATCTAGAAACTTGTTCTTTTCTCTTTGGGGGAAACTGTATAGTCAAGGCCAACACACTTGGAGTGGTTAGCAGACAGCTGTCTACCACTTCATTTGACCACCTGTCAGCTCTGCCAAAGGCCATGCAATCCTCAGGGTGGGGAGGTGTCACACACCACTGTACATCACAGAACAAAGAACCCAAAGGATGCTCCAAAACTGCTTAGGGAAGAAAGGAATTGAGGAGAGAACCTGGACAATGAGGAAACTGGAAAAGGGCAATTGGATGAGATGGCTCCTCTTTTCGGTCTTGATTACAGGGGTGTGAGCCTGCACAGAGCCTCCCAAGATGCATGAACCCTCACCCCACCTGGTCCTTAAGAGTCAATATGGGTGGCCGTCCACAAAAGGTGAACTGAAGGTGCTGTCTCCAAACATCCCCTATGCTGTCTAGTCTTCCATTTGAAATTCCATCATTAGAATATTTTTTTAATTCTTAAAAGTTTTGGTGTTTTCAAGAATTTCCTATTTAAATTCTGAGGAGCATCTGCCCAAAGTCACCTGAATTACTACTTTTGATGCAGATAACTGGGCTCTGACTGTAGCCCTCAGTGTGTGCTCATCAATTAGCACGAGAACTAGGGTCAGGACTAACCTAGGCCTAGGCTTTAGGGCAAAATGAACCCAAAGTTTCTGCTGATTTAAAATAGTCTTGGAGAAATTATGTAGATGGAGATGAATGAAGACCAAGGTGACCTGCAGAGGGTGCTGCTACTCCATTCCATTCCTTTCCTAACTACTCTCTATTCCCACTCACCTGGGCCACCTTGGAGCCTGAGTCCTGCCCGGGTTCCTTATAAGAGCTAATAATGCGTGAGCCATAAGGCCAGCCTGGTTGCATGGAAATCCCAGCTAGCTGCATGAATGGAAGTTCTCTCTGCCCTATTTCTCCCCTCTGAGCTTTGTTTGGTAGCTGTGATAAGTAAATGTGGTATGGTATACAGAGTCCCTAGGCCAGGGCCAGCTTACAGGGCTGCTGCTACTTCTTCATCTCTCATTTCTTCCAAGGGGATCTCAGAGTATCCCCCACCACCTGCCACTTCACCTTGAGTCTTTCAGAAATAAGAAGCTACCTATGAGCCCTGGTCCCTGTTACCAGTATGGGGTTCCCTGCTCTGTGGTTGTGTCCCATAAAACAGAAACTACTTGCAGAGCCCTTTAATACTCATCTTCATTTTCTCAATTTTTTTGCCACAAACATGCAAAACCTGTGTAATTAATTACCCACACGTCATTAAACATTTGTCCAAATCCATGTTGGTACAATGCCAACAGTGAGCTCTAATGCACATACTGTACGCTGCACGGTTCCCCAGCTGCAAAAAACAGACCACTCTGGTGAGGATGTTGACAGTGAGAGATGCACATGCTGTAGGGTGGGGGAGCAGGGAATAAGGGAAACCTCTACCTTTCATTCAATTTTGCTGTGAACCTACAACTCCTCTTTAGAAAAACCAATAAATTCTGGAAAATCGAAAAGTTTTCCAACAACAAAAGACATGAAGAGTCTGAGCCTTGAGCTATAGTTTTCTTTTTGGATAAGATGGGAGAGGAGTGTGAAGCCTTAATAATTGTATTTGTATTTGCATTTCCTCATTTTCCTGAAATGTGTATAGCACCCCACATAAATGAGTTTGTTCATTGAATGAGTGAAGGAAGCCTGTTGCATGAATATCTGGTGGAAGACAATTCCAGACAAAGAAAAGAGGGTGATTACAAAGGAGCAGCAAGACTCATGAGTCCCTGTGAGGTTCCAAAAAGAGCTTTGATCTTTAATCTCACTATTGCAGAAAACAATTTGAGGCTGAGAGCAGGTGAGTGACACAATATGCTGACATGCTTAAAACCTTACTATCTATCACACTGTCTATCTCTCTTCATTCTTCTGAGGGAAGAACATATCTTTCATCATTTTGCATCCATAAAACATTTTGGTTTGGGGACTGGTGTGGTGACATGCTCCTGTAATCCCAGATGCTTAGGAGGCAGAGATCAGGAGGATCATAATTTGAGGTCAACCCTTGGGTGGGGGAGTTAGCAAGACCCCATCCCAACCAATAAGTATGGTGTGGTGGTCCACATCTGTAATCCAAGACATACAGGAGGCATGAGTAGGACCATTGCAGCCTGAGGCTGACCCCAGTCAAAAACTTGAGACCCTATTTGAAAAATGACTAAAGTGAAAAAGGGATGGAGTTGGGGTATGGCTCAAGTAGCACAGCACTTGCCTCACAAGCACAAAACCCTGAGTTCAAACCCTAGGACCACTAAAAGAACAACAACAATAAAAAACAAAACAAAACTGGGTTTATCTGAAGCAAAGGTTGTTTAAAACTTTTATATATTTTACAATAAATATGCAATGAATAAACTTTTTAAATCAATTCTTACACCAAAAATCAGGGCTTTCAGTGTTCACTCATTGCCCTGAGTACAATAAACAAAATAAAACATGCAATTGCATTACTGTCTAGGAATGTGCCTGCACATGGAAGGATTGCAAAAATCACATCCGTAGGGGAGTTTGGCAGAAATCTAAACACACCCATTGTGTCACAGGCTTACACTTTTCCTCTTAACTTTTCACAGAGCATAGCATATACACTGAGAATTCCCCACATCGTAAGTGTACACCTCACTAAATTACTTCAAAGCAAATACACTGTGTTAGTCAACTTTCTCTCACTATAACAAAAGCCTGAGGTGACTAAGTTATAAGCCAAAAGGTTTCTTTTGGCTCATGGCTTTGGAGGTTCCGGTATGTGATGGAGTGTCCATCACCACCTTGGGCTTCTGGAGAGACTGTATACCATGGTGGGAGCCTGGGAAGGAGGAAACCACTCTCTCATCAGCCAGGAAGCAAGAGGAAGAGGAATAGATTGCAGTCTCACAGCCCCCTCTAAGGTGACACCCCTAATGACCTAAGGACCTCCCACTAGCTCTCACCTCCTAAAGGCCTTACCACCTCCAATACTGCC